AATATACAAAGTCTTAAAGGACACATTTTAACACACAAACTTTCTGGTAATGTGATAAAATGTGCTAGTTGTGATTACACAACAAATAACAAGCACAATTTTCAACGACATCTTTTAAAACATACCGATTTTAAAAAGTTTAAATGTGCCAATTGTGATTATGAGACAAGTGTCAAACATCACTTCAAACGACACCTTTTAAAACATTTGAATTCTACAGATTTTAAATGTGCTATTTGTGATTACGAGACATATAACAAGCATAACTTTAAACGACATCTTTTAAAACATACCGATTCTTTTTAATGTGACCGTTGCGGTTCTGCCTTTTAACGCTCACAAACGGTTTTTATAAAGAACAAATTTCTCGGTATTATCCCAGGTATAAAAATAGGTATTCGTTGGGCCCGTTCAAATGCAGCAAATTTGCCCATTTCACAAGATGCAGTTTGTAACTCAAGATTTTTTTAAATGTTCTTCAACTTATAGCCGTTAGATTATATTAGAAATAGACATTTGTTTAGTTACGAAAATGTATTGATTTAAAGTAATTTTTTAAAGATAAAGAAAAGTTTGTTTTCCTTCGTAAGGTGTTCATTTTGTTAAAGTGCACGAAATACATTGCTAAATATCCGGACCTTTTTCAGTCCAGGAGGTATCTAAGGTCCTGGATACGGTAACCTTAACTAACTAAATACGAAAAAAGTTTCAAGAAAGCAAAGCAACAAATCAAAAAATTAATTTTGTACAGCGTAGGTGGCGCCAAATTTCTCCACACGCGCAAAGACACATCCACTATCGTATTACTTGAAACGTCGCGTGACGTATGAAAGAAAATAATTACGTTTTAGCGTGTTACTTATCATTAAATCATTCAGAAAATAGACAATAGAAACAAAGGTATATGGTTTCATTGGATAGCAACGCAATTGTGTTTCTATTGGCTATTTCTCAATGATTTATTGATAATGAACTAACGATAATAATGAAGTATAAACCCACTAATTATACTTTAAAACAGACTTAACAATTCATGGCTGAATTGCACTGACTACAAATTAAACAATAGGTATTTTTCAATGTGTTGTGATTCTATTTGTGACGATTTAAGGGAACGCTATTAATTGTAACGTAATCGCAATTATAGCTTAAGTTATTCAAAGCGGAGTGTGTCAGAGCATGACGTATTTCTCCTATTTTTTATTGTGTAATTACACTGATCACATTTAAAATTCTTGAAAGTAACGCAATAAAATGTGACGTACTATCCTTGTTCTTTAAGGCATAATTACATCGAATTTTTTTTGCCAGTGAGTGTGTGTTTGTGTGTTGTTTGCGGTGGTGGGTCATGTCCCTACAATCTCCGACTACTTCACTCGTTGCATCATTCGACAATGAAATATACAGGGTCGTTGAAGGAGTAAGGACATCTCGTCACTATCGTATCTCTTCCTCGTACTTGTTTGTTTTTGGGATTACAGACCGAAATCGTCGAGATTTTGTTCGATTCGGATTTCCGATGCTTCAAAATGGGTCCGTCAAAAATATACCTACCTCGAGGGGGCGGAACAAATTGGACTCTTACGAAGGAAAACAAACTTTTCTTTATCTTTAAAAAATTACTTTAAATCAATTCATTTTCGTAACTAAACAAATATCTATTTGTAATATAATCGAACAGCTATAAGTTGAAGAACATTAAAAAAAATCTTGAGTTACACAAACTGCATCTTGTGCCTTTGAACGGGCCCAACAAATATCTATTTTTATACCTGGGATAATACCGAGAAATTTGTTCTTTATAAAAAACGTTTGTGTGCGTTAAAAGGCAGAACCGCAACGGTCACATTAGAGAAAATCGGTATGTTTTAAAAGGTGTCGTTTAAAATTGTACTTGTTATATGTCTCGTAATCACAAGTGTCACATTTAAAATCTTTGGACTTCAAATGTTTTAAAAGGTGTCGTTTGAAGTGATGTTTGACGTTTGTCTCAATCAAAATTGACACATTTAAACTTTTTAGAATCGGTGTGTTTTAAAAGGTGTCGTTTAAAATTGTGCATGTTATATGTCTCGTAATCACAAGTGGCACATTTAAAATCTTTGGACTTCAAATGTTTTAAAAGGTGTCGTTTGAAGTGATGTTTGACATTTGTCTCATAATCACAATTGGCACATTTAAACTTTCTAAAATCGGTGTGTTTTAAAAGGTGTCGTTGAAAATTGTGTTTGTTATTTGTCTTGTAATCACAATTAGTACATTTTATCACATTACCAGAAAGTTTGTGTGTTAAAATGTGTCCTTTAAGACTTTGTTTGTTATTTGTTCCGTAAGCACAATGAGCACATTTAAAATCTTTGGAAGCGGTATGTTTTATAAGATGTCGTTTATAGTAGTATGTGTTATTTGTCTTGTAATCACAATGAGCACATTAAAAATCCTTAGAATTGGTATGCTTTAAAACGTGTTGTTTAAAGTAGCATTTATCATTTGATTCGTAATCACAATGAGCACATTTAAAATCTTTAGAATCGGTATGTTTTATAAGATGTCGTTTATAGTAGTACTTGTTATTTGTCTTGTAATCACAATGAGCACATTTAAAATCCTTAAAATCAGAATGTATTAAAACGTGTTGTTTAAAGTAGGATTTATCATTTGATGGGTAATCACAATGAGCACATTTAAAATCTTTAGAATCGGTATGTTATAAGATGTCGTTTATAGTAGTATTTGTTATTTGTCTTGTAATCACAATGGGCACATTTAAAATCTTTTGAAATTGTATGTTTTAAAAGGTGTCGTTTAAAGTGAAATTTGATATTTGTCTTGTAACCACAATTAGCACATTTAAACTCTTTAGAATCAGTATGGTTTAAAAGATGTCCTTTAAAATAGTGTTTGTCATTTGTTTCAAAATCACAAGTGGCACATTTAAAATTCTTAGAATTGGTATGTTTTAAAACATGTCGTTTAAAGCAATATTTTTTATTTGTTTGGTAATCACAATTAGTACATTTAAAATTGGTAAAATCGGTGTGTTTTAAGCAGTGCCGTTTAAAGTAATGCTTGTTATTTGTCTCATAATCACAATTACCACATTTTACCACATTATGCTTTAAAATATGTTGTTTAACTTGCAGCTTATTATTTGTTGTGTGTTGACCGAAGCCACATTCAAAACCTTTGGAAATTTTACTTTTGGAGCACTGTGTGGTAATAACAATTTCGTCCTTTATTGTAACTTCGTTCTTTACAAAAATGTTTTCTTGAAGATCACAATGCATTTCTTCTTCTTGTTTTGGTTCTATTTTAATGTGTGGCATGACATCAGTGTCGTCCATATCAGTTGTTTTAGCAAAGTTTTATTAAACAATATAAATTCCTTACCGTTCACAGTCTATTTATAGATGTAGGTATAAATTTTACAAATGAAACCGATGCATAAGTTGTTGCTTTCCGTTCGTCTCGCGACAGTAATCACTTGGCTGCTACGCACATGCGTATTACACCTTCCCATTAATGCACAAAACTTTAAATTTAAATTTAGAAATGTGAATAAAGAAATACCGTTCTGCGCATGTGCGTAGCAGCCAAGTGATTACTGTCGCGAGACGTTCCCCCTGTTCCTTTTGTGTGCAAATGCAACGTTGTCAAACTTTATTCGTGATTTATAGATTATGACACCTCTGCTGGCAGCACATTGTAATTAAGACCGCCATTTTGTTTATTTACAATGGCAATATTGGAGTGTTTACAACTGTAAAACCAAATACACTGGCAAAAAAATTCAATGTAATTATGCCTTAAAGACAAGGATAGTTTAAAACGTCACATTTTTCGCGTTACTTTCAAGAATTTTAAATGTGATCAGTGTAATTATGCAACCAATAAGGATAATTTAAGAAATCGCTGTACAAAATTAATTTTTTGATTTATTACTTTGTAACTTTTTTCGTATCTATTTAGTTAAGGTTACCGTATCCAGGACGTTAGATAGCTCCTGGACTGGAGAAGGTCCGGCTATTTAGTAATGTATTTCGTGCACTTTCGCAAATCGGATAAATAAAATAAAAATAATAAAAAATAAATAATAAAATAAATCGGATAGTACCAATAGAGGAATGTGCCTGATATCAAAAGCCCTCGAAACAGAGAATATAATGTATCAAGTACAAAAATAGTTTTATTAAAATTACACACACTTTCTGATATCCAAACTTACAAAAGCATTATGGAGAATCGAGAATCCAAAGGGATAGCACAAATTAAAGACCAAGAAAGTTTTGGGATTTTATATCTTCCTAATATCAAACCTCTTTAAACAGCAAATTGAATAACGGACGATCAAAAATGAGTTGCCATCGAGTCGTCTTTGGAAGTTCAAGTTAAATACGATTTCCCATGTAAACAGAAGTTCCAAAGGTGACTTGACAGCAACTCATTTTTGTCGCACAGTATATCAGGAGCATGGAAATGAAAAGTAAAGCAGGTTTATTGTATTATATATCTAGTACTCTAACCTAACCTCACTAATACCTTAGCTATACCTTCAATCACATCCTCGCACATTATATTCTCCTGATACAATATTTCTCACCTAACCGATGGCGATGAGTACAAGAAAGGATAGGTAATTAAAGTAAAACATATGGAATAACCTAAAACGAGACGTGTTGACAGATAAGGAATCCTATGAAAATAGGTTTACCTCTAGAGGATACAACCACTCCTCATTCGCGTAAAGACGCCGAGATAATTAATTTAAAACAATCTGAGCGTGATGATTCAACATCTTTTGCAATAATTCGAACCTGTCATTTCAACGACAAAAGCAAAAGTGACATTTTTCACAATTTCAACGGTAAGAGAAATTTGTTTCATCCGTAAATGGTTGGTTTTGTGATTAATCGAGCCAGAACGGTTGAAAAACTTGGGAGAAACTGGGAAGGGGATTGAACTTTGGTGCCGGCGGCGAGTAAAAATAAATCTGCGAGATCCAAATTTATTCTGTAAGCATCGTTTTTATTTAAATAAATTTCAATCGCTTATTACAAAATATTTCCACTACGCTAATTCTTATTTACAATTAAAATATATAAAAAGTTGCTTAACTTATTGTCTTGATATGATGGCAGTTACAATAATGGCTCCTCTCGCACTCTTCACTGAGATCTTGATTGCTCTGCGTCTACCTATAAGAAATATATTTATAAAATTGTACAATTATACTATAAAAGTTTAAAGCCGAATCTGTATCACAAAAAAGTTCTACTGTATCATTTGTAAGTAACGGTTTTCTTCGAGGAGCGAACTTAGCGAGGACGTCATGTCGTTGACGACCATGTTCGAGGAGGGGGCGTCGCCGCAGCCCCCTTTCGGATGCGTGCTGCTGCTGACGGCCGCGTCGGCGTTGTTCGTCCACGACTGGCAGTTTTGGACGTACTCCAAGGTGCGCTGGTACGTGTCCTGGCGCATGCCGAGCGGTTGGAGTGCGGGCGGCGCCTTGTTGACGTTGGGCGACATTTGCGATTGCGTTATGTCCTTGCATTGGATTTCGTTGTTCGAGCACTGGTGGCAGACGTTCGCCTTTTTGTTGCTGCAGTTCGCGCAGTACAGGCGATCGCTGTTCGGAAGACATTGATTGGTGTAGGGTTGCTGTTGGTAGCAGTGCTGGTCGACGTGGGAGCACGGTCGCACCATTTGCGCCTGTTGCGGTTGGTTCACGATGTCGGTGGGCGCCGGCGTGGCCATGGCGGGTGACGCCATCGGCTCGCTCGCGCAACTGTAGACGTTGTTGCACCCGTAGCCGTTGACGTGTTTCTGCTGCTGACAACCGTTGGGATGGTAGTTGGAGGTGCACATCGACGCGTACACGTGGTTGTTGCAGTGGGAGGGGATGGGGTAGTTGCTTGGAGTTTGTACGTGAGGTGTTCTGCAGTAGGTGTTGTGTGGGATATTGCTGATATGGCACATGGTTTGTACTGGTTGAGTTTGGCACATACGGTTTTGGAGCATCTGACCGTTGGGCTCCCAAGTGGTCGTGTGCTGCGCGTAGCATACGTTATGCGACGCTGGGCGGTAGCAGTTCGATAGCATCTGCTGATTTTGGGACACCATTTGTGAGTGACAGTGGACGGGAACCATCTGGGACGGTGCAGGCGACATCATGATGGGATTTGGTGATGGTACCTGTTGGCAATAATAGACAATTTAAAAGGGATATAGATCGCGCCTAATTTTATGCAACCAAAAATGCGTGCGCATGAGTTGCTTGGGTTGCATCACATTAAGACCGCCGGCCGTCCCGATCCCTCGTGGAAAATTACCCTAAACATTAAGATTGTACTGTACATATACAGATGGCAGTTGCGAAGTACAGTACAGTTATTTATCTGTATTGATTTTGAAAAAAAATTCACCAAGAACCACAGAGGAGGGGAATTGCAAATAATGCAAAAAAATATAATTTAGCACATCTTACCGCTCTCTTGAAAGTGGCGCGTTGGGCTATAGTCCAGTAATCCTATTTATAACTCGGAAATGAGAGTACAGACGGACCGACAGACAGACCTAATCGATATTTTGTTTGATTCGGATTCCCGGTGCTTCAAACGGGGGGTCATTTTTTACCCCGATGCAATAACTCCCTTACTAATGTACCGTTAGCGCGTTTTTTAAGAATTAAAAAAAAATGTGCTATTGTTTGCGTTTTGTCCGTCCGTTCGTCCGGACCCACTTCTGCCGTTAATGGCCCTGGAATTTTTTGTTTGCGTTTTGTCCGTCCGTTCGTCCGGACCCACTTCTGCCGTTAATGGCCCTGGAATTTTTTGCAGTAGGTAGCCTATACCTTGAAGATCTGGCAGACGGTCATCAAATTTCGCCGTCTAAAAGCCCCCCCCCCCCACGAAATATTTCCTGAGATGCTATTTTTGAAATTAAACGTGCATAACTTTTACATATGACAACCAATTGGTCTCAGATTGTGCATACGCATGTCTTTAGTTGTGCCAAGTTAAACTTTAGGAAAGGGGGGGGGGGTAAACACATGTTCTACCCTTCATGGTATTCTAACGAAAGGCCTCATCGAAATAAATTGGTTTGTACAAACTATAACTTTCCTGTGCGACTTTTTTTCGAGATCAGTGAGCGACAGGCCTGAAGGGGGGG